TTGACTCAACAGTGAGAAGCTACACCTCAACCGACTTGACATATCTACAGATCTCAGAATCAATTTCAGATGGGTTCGAGAGCCAATTCAGAACGAATCCAGATCAGCTTAACTCAATAACGAGTAGCAGGTTTTCAGTTAACATTTTTAAGCCAGATTTCAATTCCACGATGAAAGATATCCAACTGACAGAATTTATCAGTGAGCTTTCCCATGAAGGGGACTTATCTAAAAATCATATTACTTGGTTCGAACCCACTCAAAGGAACCACCTAAAGAATTATGATTGGCTTAGACCCGTGAAGGGAAGTCATTTTTTTAAAGAAACTATTGGCAGCATAGCTCAAGGCGATAAGGGCTATCTGCCAACAAAAGACCTTCGAATTTGACTACGCTCAGCTCCAAGGCATATCATTTATAGCATAACTCAAGGCTAGAAGGGTTATCTGCCAACCAAAGACCTTCGAGTTCGACTACGCTCAGCTCCAAGGCATATCATTTGCAACATAACTCAAGGCTAGAAGGGTTATCTGCCAACCAAAGACCTTCGAGTTCGACTACGCTCAGCTCTAAGGCACATCATTTGCAGCATAACTCAAGGCTAGAAGGGCTATATGCCACCAAAATACCTTCGATTTCGACTACGCTCAGCTCCAAGGCATATCATTTGCAACATAACACAAGGCTAGAAAGGTTATCTACCAACCAAATACCTTCGAGTTAGACTACGCTCAACTCCAAGGCACATCATTTGCAGCATAGCTCAAGGCTAGAATGACTATGTTCCACCAAAAGACCTTCAAGTTCGATTACACTCAACTCCAAGGCATATCATTTGCAGCATAACTCAAGGCTATAAGGGTTATCTACCGACCAAAAACCTTCGAGTTTGACTACGCTTAGCTCCAAGGCACATTATTTGCAATATAGCTCAAGGCAAGAAGAGCTATTTGCCAATAAAAGACCTTCGAGTTCGACTACGCTCAGCTCAAAGGCATATCATTTGCAGTATAACTCAAGGCTAGAAGAGTTATCTGCCAACCAAAGACCTTCGAGTTTGATTACACTTAGCTCAAAGACGCATCATTTACAACATAACTCAAGGCGAGAAGAACTATCTGTAACCACAAGACCTTCGAGTTCGATTTCATTCAGCTAGATGACACATCAATCATACTACTGTTCGGTTGCAGTCGAGGTTTTCAAGTCGAGAAGAAGACCTATGTTAGTCGTGTCTTAGTGACAAGAAACTGTTTTTCAGTAGCATAGCTTAAGTCGAGAAAAGCTATTTTTCAACGAAGACTTTTGGAGTTCGATTTTATTCAGCTCGAGGGCCTGTCAACCACATGGTAGAGTCAAGGAATTACTTTCCAGTTGAATTTTTAAACCAAGGTCTTTAAATCGAGAAGAAGACCGAAGTGGACTATAATTTGGCAATAAGAAGACCATTCCAATTCAAATTCCGAACTACGGCTTCAATTCCACATCATTTCAAGATGGACTCGACTTCGCGACGGAAGAGTCATTCGTAACTTAATTCGACAGGAAGTTATTCTTCAACTCCACCGAACGAAAATTTGTGTCTTTTTATCTTTGTCCTATTTTTTGTTCCACGGAAAAGGACAAAGAGTGGCAGCTGTAGACACTTATTTTCGTCTGGATTTATTTTTTATATATTATTTTTTATAGTAATATAATATAATTTTTGAAAATGTTTTTTGTAAAAATATAATTTTCAGAAAAACAGTTTTCTAAAATATATATATTATATAGTTTCGAAAACATTTCAAAAAAAAATATATTATATAGTTTTGAATTTTTTTGAAAACATATATAATGTATAGTTTTTGAAAATGCTTTTGAAAATATATAATATATAGTTTTGAAATCATTTTGAAAATATATATATAATATTTAATTTTTAAAACATTTTTTGAAAAATTATATAATATATAATTATTAAAACATTTTTGAAAAAACTTATATAATATATAATTTTAAAAAACATTTTTGAAAAAATTATATACTTTATAGTTTTGATTTTTTTAAAATATAATATATAGTTTAAAAAATATTTTTGAAATATATATTATATAGTTTATATTATTATTATTATTATTATTATTATTATTATTATTTTATTCATTTAATTTAATTTAATTTGTTTTATTTTTTTGTTTTGTTCAAGTCCAATATCTCCAAGTCCAAGTCCAACAAGGGTCCAAATGGGCACGAGCCCAGATCCAGGTTCTGACCTGCCTGACCTAGCAGGCCAAAACTGGGCACCCAACGTGTAAATCGGGTAAACCAAGGACCCGTAGCATACTAGGGTTCCACAATCAATCAATAGCACCGCACGGGGGAGTTATACAGTCAAAGGGAGAACCGACCGACCGGTAAAGTCGGGACTACACCATCCCAGGATTCCCGGCCACGTGAAACAACGTTAGGCCCGAAAGGTATGGGAACGACCTCGTCATCACCGGAACAGCCCCGTGGGGGGTATATAAATACCAACGGATGGTACACCGAGGGATCATAAAAACCAAACCACAAACACCAGAGAACAGACATCGAACAACACACTGCCAACAAAAGAACCATAAACACCGGGAACAAAACCAACGACATCAATAGTACAAAATCATAACATCTACATATACAAGCCAAAGGCCGAAGCCCCTCAGTAAAAAACCAAAAAACACACAAAAAAAACAAAAAAACACAAAGACAACCCCGATCTAAGCCCGGAGAGGAGAAAACAACTGGAAAATCGAAAGGTCATCGCGAAAAAGGGTGAGAACTGAAGTTTCTTTTTTAGATCTACGAGTGTTGGGTCTATTTTGGCGATTCAGAGACCGGATTTGGTATCGGGAAGGTCGGGAGAACTTATTGGGCTAGTTTGGTTTTTTCCGGCCACCAGAGGCGACAACTGGAGCGGCGGACAATGGCGGTGGTGGCGACCGACTTCCCATCAATGGGAACCTGCTAGAGAGAGGGCATAAAGAATTTGAGTTCTCTCCCCCTTAGAGAGAGAAGAGAAATAGGTGAAATGAGGGGGAATGCGTATTTCTGGGCTTTATACAACATGTGAACACCGACCCGCGCGTGACCCGACCTATGTCTAGGGTCCGCGCATTTTTGAGATAAAAAAGGTAAATTCCCTTTTTGTTCCCTCGAGCTTGTAAGGATTCATTTTGGCCCATAATTCAAATTTAGCTCTGATTTCTCTTTTAATTTTATTTCCCAATTTTATTTTCTTTTAAAATGGTCCCTTTTCTTATTTTCATGTTTTATTTATTTCTGATATTTTATTTTAATTTCGTATATATATATATATATATTATTTTTTATATATATGTACATTTATTATTATTATTAATTATTTACTTCTTATTCTTTTTCCTTTTATTTTATTTTATCTTATATATATATTTGGTTTATTTTTTCCCTTGATTTATTTTTCCCTTTTTTTCCTTTCTTTCTTTTGATTTATTTATTTATTTATTCCCTCTAACATTTTTTTTAATTTATAGAGAATTTTCAATCGATCAAAGGTAAGCGATTCAAATCGAATTTTTTAAATTTAAATTTCAAATTTTTGCAAATAAAGACAATCGACAAATTAATTGGTACCAAAAGGGCGGTTCAAGGGTGCTAATCCTTCATTGACCGTAACCGACTCCCGAACTCGACACATTTATGGTAAAACACAGATCAGGTAAGATGGTGTTCGATTCACCTAAAGTGATCGGTAGCGACTCCAATCCATTTATTCACGTCGAAGCCCAATTTTGGGCCCAACAGAAAGACGGTCGCGACAATTGTGTTGTTAAATTTTAATGATATGATGATGTGAATGAATCTTTTTATCACTATGATGATGTGGATAAAACAACACTGTTTTGGCGCATATCTTGATACTCAAAACAACGTCGTTTTAGAAAATGAACTTTTAGCGGTGTTTCAATTTTGACACTAGATTTTTAAAAAGTTCATTTTTAAGCACTAAACCTTTTCGGAAGTCACTGGTAACCAATCCTCTCTTGTTATCAGTTATCTTTTGTGGGAAGATCGGTATCAAAATGTTCACATTTCACTCATCTTTCTTCTTCTAGGATTAGTTTTCCACAAAACACACTCAAAATCGATGAAAACCCATATAAAAGTTCACATTTCACTCATCTTTCTTCTTCTAGGATTAGTTTTCTGCAAAACACACTCAGAATCGATGCAAATCCATCTAAAAGTTGATGTGTTGCTACTATGATATTCTCTTATGGTCGTTAAATGAGGTTATTTTTTAAGTATGTTGTTCATCTTCTTAAAATAATGTTTCTCACTGTTTAAATTTTCAAACAACCATCTCAATTCTCTCATATTTGAGAAAACCCACAAACCCTTAAAAGTGATGTATTTTTGTATTTAATTTCATAGATTTTTACAAATTTCGTGAAAAATCAATTATAAGATAAGAAATTTTGATACTAATTTTATTACGAAATATGACTGGTGGTAGTCAGAAAAATACAATATCCAAAGCGAAATATTTAAAAGTTTAATAAAAAAATCAAATCACACGTAAGATCATCGTTTTAGACACCAAGAATCACATTAAATGATATTGTTTTGTTTATGTCATCACACGATTTGAATTTTAATAATATAGTGACATAATTAAAATTAAAAATTTATAGTATAGAAAAAATACTTAAAAGTTAAATAATATAAACTATAGACCACATAAAATCGAATAACATCTGAATAGATTACCTGTATTATAATTATCATTATCTTGTAAACTTCTATTTATATTGTCAGTCACTTCACATCAACTATATTAGCTTTTACTTAAAAGGAAAGTATCCAAAGAAATCTGGTCATGAATCAATAATTAACCAAATTTGCTTAATAAAGAGAGCACAATAGTTTTAACCATACAACCGTTTTATGTAAATTGAAAACGCGGGCTGACGCTCATGAATCTTTCCTTTCACTTCCATCGACTTCGCTTTGACCTTTAAACACCGAAGCCAAAACCAGAAACAAACGCCCCCAAGATTCAAACCTACGATACCAAATAGAGGAAAGAAAAAGAAACACCAAAAGAGGGCAACAATTTGAAATTGCTATAAGTTTTGCACTCAATCTCTTGCTTCACCTCAAAACCATAAGCTTTAATTTTGCACTAAAACTACGAGAGATAAAAGGAAAGAAGGTTCCTTTGCTTCAAGAAAAATGATCCCTTTCTTGTAAGTTTCTTCTTCTTTTCTTATACCCTTTCTGTTATAACCCTTTTCGTGATATGGTTTTATGCTTTTGCACAGGATTGGGTAAAGCACTCCCTCTTTTTGTTGTTGTTGTTGGCATCTGGAGATGCATTTATTTTATTTCATTCATCTTTTACTTTTCTGGGTATTTTCCCTTTTTCCTTTATGTTTATTTTATAAAGTTTTGGAAGTATTTTCTTCAATGGGTTTATGCCAATTCATTTGTTTTTTTCCCGGCTCTTCTTTTTGGTATGCAGTTGTGTAATTAAGTGTGTTCGTTGTTGAAAAAAAAATTCATTGTCTTTGCTACAATCTATTGAGCTTTTGAAGCTGTACCATTCATTCCTGTTCAATTTTTCTTCAGATATTTCCTTTTGGTTTGATGGTTAGAGCCAAATTCTTGTCAGCTCTATGAGAGGGCTTTATCCATCCTTATTACATGCATTTGTAGGGGTCCCCAGTTCCTAATTTCAGTTAAAAAGTTAAATGTATTTGTCAACACCTAACTTAAAAGCTTTCAAGGTTGTTTCTAATCAATTGTACTTTTCTACACAGGATAAAAAGTAAACAAGAGAAGTAGATCAACTGGTTTCCGGCTTTGGGTTATTGCATCTGATTGTTGAGTTCTAGTATTTCCGAATATGGGGGATCATTTTGTATTGCTAGTGGATCGGTTGTTGACAGAATCCACACTGGAAGCCGCTATCGAAAGCCGAAACCGCTCTTTGCAGGCCACTACATTAGCAGTTGATGACAAGGAAGTATTCAGTTCTTCTCCGAAGGTGGATTTGTTGTCCCCAAGGAAAATTGTAGAATGCAGGATATGCCAAGATGAGGATGAAGATTCAAACATGGAGACCCCTTGCTCTTGTTGTGGCAGCTTGGAGGTTAGGTTGAGGCTTATTTGAGTGGCAGTTTTCAGTTCAAAAATATTAAATTCGCGCTTTTAAGTTTCTTCAATCTGTTTTTTTATGCATATTTTTTCATGTTCAATTTATGAGAGATAACCCCCGAATTCTTTCACCATGCATGTTTTGTTTCCAATTTTTGGCAAATGATGTAATGAATATCTTTTATAGTTTCTGCCTTAAAAGATGTCGTCAGTATTAGTCGGCTAGTTGTTTTAAGTTATCAAATAAATTTGAGGGGCAAAACTATTTTGTGGAACAATTCTCTTTATCCTCCATGAACAAGGAGGATGTAGCCCTGTATGTTGGGTTCCTATACCAAGTTGACACCAACACCATTTCCATGGTACAAATTTATAATACCTTGGTTCTTGTTCGTATGTTAGCTTTTCTTGAAACATTTCACTGCAATCTTGTTGCAAAATGCTTGTCCTTATAATCTATCATACCTGCTCTGAGAATCATCAGTAGCTCCTCCATATTTGGTGAATAGCATCATCTTTTAGTACAAGTCTGACCCAAAATTTTGGTTCACTAAGCCTAGTTGCTGTGAAACTGCACATTTCTGAGTGTGGCTAATGAGAAAACATCTCTCACATTCTTCTTCAAATATAGTGTCTTACTATTTCTTGCACTTGAGTTCCAAGGATATAAATGTTATCTAGTAACTAGATCAATTTCACTCTTATACCTTTCAATATGCTTTCATTTTAAGTTTGTCTTTTAAAGAATGCGGACCTTCTGGTTATTCTTTCCGTTCTCAAGCAATGTAAAGGGTTAAAGTTTCATCAGTTCAAGTGATTGTACCTAAGAGGCCTATCTCAATCAATATTCTCATCTTTTTACTTCTAAACATCCATTTCAATGCAACAAAATATTCATGTATCCTGTAAACTTCTGTTTGGAGCTAATTGTGCAACGCCTCTATTTTGTTACAGTATGCTCATCGAAGATGTGTACAAAGATGGTGCAATGAGAAAGGCAACACTACCTGTGAAATATGCCATCAGGTTATTTATTTTACATTTCATGAGCCATGTTCTAACTAAAGCATTTTGTTCCCTTTCAATTTCATTTTCTTCGAGTGATATACAGTTTGAGTTGTTTGTTGTATAGTTTTATCTCTGACAGGTTATACTAAACTTATCTGATCATTAATCTTCTGCATTTCAGCAATTCGAGCCGGGCTATACTGCGCCACCTCCTTTGTTCCAAATCGGCCGTTTTCCAATGAATTTGAGGTAACTCTTGCATGTTAAAGTGTTAACTAGCAACCGCTCATCTGGTTAACATTGCTTCATTTAAGTTTTATGCTTTTTGTCAGGGCAAACTGGGAGATCTCTAGGAGGGAGTTAAACAATTCTCGCCTTATAGCAGTAGTATCAACTGATCACCATTATGATGAATATTCAGTTTCGACTACAAGAAGCTCAATATGTTACCGAACATTTGCAATAGTGGTAACTTTCACTCTCTAAACCTTCACTGTCCTAAAAACTAGAATAATGCAGAGGAATATATGAGATTTTCTAATTTAAAAAGCTTCAACATTCTGATAGACGCACCATGCCAAGTATGCTTCCTTTTGACAGACATAGCTAACTACAATACTAAAAGCAGTTATGATTCTTTCAATGGCAGCTAAACTTTTAAGTTTTAAATTTATGCTGAAATTTGTGGACATCAATGTGTAAAACATCTACTTTAAAGCTCTTGTAGTAACACTTAAGTGTTAATTTATCGATTGCTTTCATTGCTGATTTCTTATTCTTTTCATCTGCAGTTCATCCTTCTTTTGATTTTACGACATACTCTTCCTATCATACTTACCAGAACCAATGACTACACTTTCCTGTTGTTCATGGTAAGTTTTCTTCTTTTATTTCGAACATATCGACTTTCAGACTATATAATCTAGTATCATCTTACATTGTACAGTTGTTATTACTTCCCACTGTTGGGATTATCCTGCCAATCTATGTCATGGTGAAATCAATGACTGCCCTCCGTCACCGCCGGCAACAGCAGGTGAGAGGTTCTCTTTGAATCAACTCATAATTCCTATCACCTATTAGTTTGAAAACAAATTTTGCTGAGTGGGTTTTTTGGTTAACCATTAGGAGTTCCCAAATTCATTGTTTACTCAATCAGATGAAGAAACTGAGCAGTCTATCATGCAAACTCAGCATCACATAGTCAACATTCCTTGAATGCCAAGTGCCAACAGATGCACTAAAAGTCATTACAAGAAGTTGGTATGTAGGATAAATGAATATTAATTTCATTATTAGGTCATCTTTGGGTAGAAAAGTTGAAGGTGTGTTGGTCTCTCAGATGATTTGATTACATGTCTTTAAAAAAACTGTACAGACCAACTCTGGGGATGATCCCAATTGTATATATTTGAAGAAAATGCACATTGAAGGAAAGAGATACAAAGAATGTACCTGTGTATATGAACCATTGTACAATATATAAAAGAAAGCAGCAATATAAATGAATATATTTTTATTTTATTTCATTTTGTTGTGATTTTGGGAGGAAAAAAGGCTTTCTGTGACATCCTGTCTGTGAAAAATGACATTCAAAATGTTTTAGTTACATGTGTGTGTGTGTTCTTAGATTGATAATCGATCTCTTACTGCATTGTTCAAAGAATGAATCAGTTGTTTTAGTTTTCGAGCAATGTAGAGACAAATTCAGAATCCAAAATCTTAAAATCAATCGTTATATATTTTTATATTAATATTCATAATCATTAATATTTATAATTCACTGATAACTGTGATATTTATTCGTATCTTCAATTTTTCATAAATTATTCGTTTGAAACTTCTATTTCCCCCGAATTATTAGTGTAAGTTTTTTTTGCCTTTCTTTATATGATCCAATTTTCATTAGTTTTGTGTTCTTTGAAGATCATAAAGAAAATGAACAGTTAATATAACTAATCCATTTTAGTTTTTATAGGTTCTTAGAAAAAAATTGTGATTTTATTATAACCCCTCTTTATTTATTTGATAAAACTAAGTACTTGTATCAGTTAAAAGAACTTTTATTTTTAAAATGTCTTGAGTTCCTAGAATTAAAAGTAGATGGAATAAATTTTGAATATATGAGGAGTACAGGGACTAAGAGCATAAGTGGACCGAAAGAGATACGAAAAATCAATATATGCCATCATAGGAACGATGAATGCCGAAAGCTTTCACTGCAACCTAAAATTGTCCCAAGCAAGATGATCAGAAGGATATAATTCTTGTTGAATGCCAATGCAAGAATGAAAATACGTTTTTTTTTAATAACTACTAAAACAGGTCCACAGTATTCTCACATACAAGTTATACTACAGTCCTTCAATGTTTAATCATATGAAGAACAAATTCAAGTGGAGAGGAGGAACTTTACAGACACTTGTATCAGACATTCATTCACAAAACTCATTCTAAAGTATTCATGCAGCATGTCAAATTTGAATGGGACATTAAGAAAGCAGATAAAATTAGGGGTGTCAAATCTCTAGGAACCCAAAATTCAGGATGGTCTTGATAGAAAACTGATAAATGAATCGGACGTCAAGTGTGTCGGTATAAGGGCTGGAATCTCGATTTCTACTTGGAGCTTGATGTCATCCGAATTCCGACAGGGTCATCATCTTAAGGATTGTGTGCGACTTTTCTGTTGTTCTAGTAATATTAACTCCAGCTTCTCCTCCGCCTGAAAAGTGGTGGAAGGAAATCAGATGAGAAAGTTGCATCTTAAATATCAAAAGTTGTCTCTCTCTCTCTCTCTCTCTACAACTCTCCCCCGCCCCCTTTTCCTATTTGAAAGAATTCATGTCCTCAGAACTATCATATGTTCTTTAAAGAGTGTAGTTGATGGAAATACTTCCGACTCTTCTGCTGAGAACGACAGTAGCAAGCGAGCGCTCCGAATGCACAGCTGGCAAGAGCAATAGCGAATGCAGCCCCAACCGGCACCACAACTGCACTAGTTGAGGAATCATCCAGAATAACGCCGGTTCCATCTTCAGCTAGAAGACCCTATAGAAAGATACAAGCGTATTTCCATAATAACTTATTAAGAACTTAAACACTTCATCCTGGTTCCACCCTATCTGACTGCTTCCTTTATCTTTGGGACCTCGGGAATGTTGACATGAAGGACAAAGCTGTTTTGGAGGCCAAATAATCTTTGGGAATTTAGGATCTCCAGTTTTTAGAGATGCTTCTTCCTTCATTAACCTCTCATTGACTTGATTATGTGCACTCCACAACCAAAGGGCAAAGCCACGAGCTGTTTCGAAAGGACTTTTAACACTGCAAATTGAACATTTGCAGTTAGATGAAATTAACTTGAATATTTATAAGGAAATAACTTGCTTTGGAATCAAATTTACCTTGAACACATCTCATAAAAAAGTTGACGACACTCCTCGCAAATAAAAAAATTGTGAATAAAATCACATATAGATGTAAATGCAGATTGGCTCTCTCCATCCTCAATCCTCACAGAGAGTGAATGCATTAAAACCCACAAGCCACAACTGGATACAAAATATGTATGATTATTGACAGCTATAAAATCAATTACAGCTGAAGGGAACTCTATTATGATTGTCATCATATGCAAGGCTGAGAATTGTTGAAAAAGAAATATAGGAACAAATAACTATGGAAGAAGACTAGTCATATAGGAGTACAACAATTTTTTATGACAAAAATCTCATTTTTTTACATCATACATTGCAAAATGGCTTAATTTATTGTATTTGTTCTATGGCTAAAATACGAAATTAACACTAACCAGTATAAACTAAGCTTGTTAAAATAATTGCACACGGTTGACGGTTATCTTGAGCTAATCTGCTAAAAACCAAATGAACATCTCCTAGTAATATTATCAGTTGCAACTAACCCTCTTTTTAATGCATCAGCATATCAGGTTCAATGCAATATGTCACAATATAAACATGAATTAAAGAACATAAGTAATAATAATTACATTCAAATCTGTAAAAAGCCTACTTGCAACCCCAGCAATCCCTCATGTCCTGACCCCTATGGAAAGGGTGCTAGTGCTACTACTTTGTTGATTCATAGAGAAGTGAAATAATTTGAAACCAATGCCTAAAGAGAGTGAAAGACATCAAATTGGAGAAGTTCAGAAAGTTCTTCCAAAATTGCATGAGCTAAAAATTTAAGGAGTTTAAATCATTACCTAAAGCCCCGGGTATCATTTCTGCTGCCTCGACAAAACATCTGCAAAAAAGATCCAAATGTGGCATAAAGCAACCATTAAAAGAAAATCAATGTAAAAATTTCAAAAGAATATGTTTTATCTTGGCGAAAATAAAAATGAATAAATATTTATATGGTTTAATCAATTTGGCAATCTCACAGCTGAAAAACCAGTCATAAATTAGTGATATATATATAGAGAGAGAGGCAATGGATCACATAAAATGGGTGTCGTAACTACTTATAGGTAACTAACAATCATCAACTATAGTATTAAAGCATTCCAGTTGAATCAAGCTTCAAATATACGCGAAGAAAGAAAAATTAAAAGCCTGGATGGCGCTTCCTAATATCAATAGCTTCAAATATACAAATGGAAAGAAACTAAAAAGCCAAATTGTCTTTTAGTGCCTACCCAATATCCACGGGGAACATCCTTTCCACAAATATGGAAATTGCGTAGCACCCCTATCATGTTAGTAGTATCAACATCATGCTTGGCTGATGACCAAATATCAAATGGGCACAAGTCATCAAAATTGACGAGTATTTCTGCACTTCCCTTCCGACACCTAGTACAAAGCCAAGGAGAAGATGTCAAATTTAAGAATTACTTTCATCTTGCAGACAAGGTATTGGTTTTTGTTTGATAATTTCATTCTTCTACAAATGCTTCCGTTTTTCACCTTTCACTACTTATTTACTTCTCTCTACATCACGCTTTTTCTTAATGTGGCTTGCTGCCACTTTGATACCACTTCCACTCACTTTATGTCATGTAGGAGAAGAGATATAATTGTTTTTCCTCGTATTGGGTCATCATTAATCAATTTCAAAGTTGTTTAGAAACTTCCCCTTGACCAAAGCTGATTTAAATTAAGTTATTGAATCATCTAGTACATTCTTTTGGTGTAGTTGTTCAATAATGAGATACACTGTCTCATGTCAGTTATTTCCAATACTACCTTCCCCATGCATCCTAGAAATGACATTGTTCTGCCTTTTACGTATCACTCGCGATCTTTTACTTGGAAAACAAATTATTCCTAGTTGCATAACTTTTGAGCAATTATTTCAAAACTCAACTGATGAACCTATCATATGCTCCTTTTCTGGACACGTTTGATGAAGATGGTATCATAACATATTGTATTGGCAATTAAGAGCTCACCAAAGATCAATAAAATGCCCCCTTTGCATTCAAGGTCATATCAGTAGCCATTAAGAGTTATTTTTTTCCTTATGCAGTATTTCCTTTTTGTCAGTGGTGTTATTAAGTTACAAGCATTCTAGTAACATGAAGCCAAGCCAAGACACATACTTGAAAGGTTAGATCTTACCTCCTCGAAGGATGATGAGCGACTAAAAGCTGAAGGAATTTGATTAGTGAAGCTCGAGTTCCAGATTTAATCATCTGCAGGACATCACCTCCAGCAACTTTAGTACGACAACAACAAAAAATTCCTAGCCTATATGCATACAAAATTGAGAGAATAGAGGGAAATTTACACAAGAGAGTGAAATTCCAACCTTATGTTCTAGAATGATGTCAAAGGCAGTTGCGGTTGCCTCCTCCACATCGTACACAGCTCGAGCAATCTTTCAAAATTTTATCAAAACAATGAAGATAAAATCCTAAGCATATTGACCAAATCTCAAACATGCATTATTCAAGAAATCAAAATGGAAATGCACATAGAAACCTGTCCAGGATCCGATATATTCGATGAAAGATGCTCGTTTTCAAAATTTTCATCATCCAGGCCATATGACTGAAAGGGAGTATAACCAGCAGAAATCAAATGAGAACAAAAGCTAAAGGTCAAAATTTCATAGAAAGTGCAAATATTTGGCACTAACTTTGAAGTACAATATCAATCAAACACCAAATTTTTTATAACTACAATGTCAGAACAGAAACAGATTTCATTATACCACAAAACCTCCCCCATGCTCATGGTTTCCATGCCTAGTTCA